AGAGAAAGGGTGGCCGTCTCTCATCATAGATCTCGGATTCACCGCTGTGATTCACGCGTTGCGTTTCTACAGTCGAGGCTAGTTCTAAATGGGTCGTGAAATAAAATTATAATCCGTCGAAGAGAACTAAATTTCTTCTTCACGAGGCGCGTAGAAAAAAAAGTTTTTCCAAAATTTTTGGAAAACACTTCTTTCGAAAAATCGCGCTGAATGTTATTCGTCAAGTTGCTCGAGTTCGAAATACCAATTCCGACGAACGCGAAAATCCTACTTGCGGAAGTAGCAATAATTTAAAAAAATGACTCGTTGCCGGCATTATAATTGTTTCACGCCTCGCGGATTTTAAGTCGGTATTTTGAATACCTTCAACCTCGACGACACGTTGCTTCGCGTTGCTCTCTGGTCCGCTCGTTACGGGATTTATTCCTGCTGCCATTGCTTTCGCCGTGAAAATATGCGATCGAATTTCCGCTACGACAATATTTTAAGGACTCTAATAACGGATCGGAAATTCTCGTGCATGAAATACGAAGCGATTCAATGTGTGATTGTTTTAAAACAATGTGAACAAATTGTTCTTTACGAGAGAAAGAGATATTCAGAACGCACTCATTCATGCTCGTTTGCTTGACTGTATTTTGCAACACCGTTTGTCCGAACAAAACGCAAAGCCGAGTTTGCCAAGTGACATTTCAAATCGGTATAACAAATCGATTCATCGACTAAGCGGATAGAGACATGTAGATATTACTATCAAATTTATTACAATGCGAAATGTACGAAATCATTCGTTTCTTGTTCATTCCTATCGTCATATTTTCTCGGCATGCCGGCACATCGACTACCTCGAAATAAGACGACAACCGAATCGATCGCTGGTACTCAGCTGATTTAGGACGGAATCGTCGATTGGCTGCGAATTTACATAAGTCCCGATTCGCGAATTATGGATTAATGCGCAATTGTCGTCGATTATTTCTCATAGCCGCGGTGCACGGTAGCGGTCTTGGAGGTCATTGTGCCAAGGGAAGCCAGGGAACCTCGACGGTTCGATACGACGTACGCGACATGATGCTTTAGATGTATTGACGCAGCGTCGCGACGCCGTCGGCGACGACAGCGCAGGGTATAGCGATTCTCGTTCGCGAGAGGCGCAATCTAATAAAGAGGGAGCATATGCTCGACTGAATAGCGTAATTTGGTCTGTAAGATTGAGATCCCGAAAGACGTGAAAAAGTACACTGATTGTTCGTAATCAGCTGTTTTTTCGCGGATTAGAAAGATGCAGTTCAATTCGAACGTAAAATATATGCATCATCTTTTCATATCATCGACACGTCGCCGGGCTTGATTAATCAGACTGTATTGCACAAGGAATATTATATAAATGTAAAAGAATACGATAATTTTTAATTTTTGTGAATCTTTTTTTATAAATTGTATGTATTTAAGATTCAAAATTTTAGGCAATTTGATTACACGTGCAATTATTTACTGTAATTGGAATTGTAGGAAGTTGACCGAGAGATTTCCTGGGTTTCATGCTCTTGACAATACTTTTAATTATGACAGTTAATTACGCGCGTCCACACAATTGGCTCTTTTCTTACCATTGTAATTGAAAGTCCGCGATTCTATTTCTCCGTGATCCGAAGACAACCAAGGGGCTTTCCTACATTGTTCATTACGGAGGTCCACGAGTACAAACGGCGAACGAATATTCCGCTTGTCGCGAGGCGCCAATGATGAATTATAAACACTCGTTACGGTTCTAACGTTTTTCGAAGTTCAGTCAGTTCTGAAGCAGGAAGCTTAATCAAAAGCGAGCACTCGCCGCGAGAATTTTCGTCGGGGGAAACGCCGAGGAAATATGTCGTACCTACACGGCTACGTTTATACTTCACTTGCGACGTTTATACGCGCAATTTACGAGACGAGAAGAATCGCGCTTGGTTTGTTAACTTCGCACTTCTCGTCCTCTCTCGGGCTAACTGGGTTAATTTCCCCCCCTGCATTCTCCTCCCGGCGCTTATTACTCCCGCGAGTGCGGACTGCTGCGTATATTTAATCGGCGCGACGGCTCGTTCGGATGCGACTTATTTCCCTTCGTTATTATCACACGCGAGACGTGAAAATTGCATTTTTCGCGCACCGACCCGTCTATCTCGTTCTTTTCTTCAGCGGACACGTTCGGTAGGGTTTCACAGCGCGAAATCCGGTTTAAAGGACGTCCGACAAAGAGCTGTATCCGAAAATAAAAGGGATTTCTCGTTCTCACGCGGGGTGAATGACACGGGGATCCTGCGACCACTTTAGTTCCGCGCTATTATCGGTACCTCATAGATCCGCTCATAAATAGACAGCTTTGTATATAGTATATATTATATGCATATATATATATACTACAATATATAAATAATAATACAATATATATATTATAGTATATATACTATAATATATAATGTAGTTATATGCTATATACTATAATATTTATTGTATATAGTTGTGTGATATATAATACATATGATATGTAATATATATGATATGCAATATACCATAAAATCTACATGTACATGTAGTCTACATATTTACATGTACATAATAAAATTGAAAAGTTACTTTTACAATCTTCTAAAGCAAAAAATGTGATGATATTTACATAACTTTGAAGTAAAAAATATCCGAATACTCAGCATATGAATTTATGCATGAATAATAATTAAAATTACAAGTAGAAAATTTTTCAATTAGTCGCATTTGCATAAGGAAGTAAACCTAAATGTATTTTTAATGTTTTTTTTTTTTCCAGAAATCTAAGCAGCGGTTTCTAAATTTTTTTTGTTTATTTAGACGAAGAACAAAATACAACTCGGTTCTATGTGACATTGATAATTGATTGCTTTTATGTAATTTCATGCAAGTATAAATATACTAATGATAATGCAAAACTAACATGCCTCAATTTTTCAATAACATCTTCATCGCATAGTGACGCACTTTAAACACCATTTCCCATCTTACCATTGTTATTGATTTTCCCGAGTTATTTCAAGCGCTACTTTGTGGCAAACTATTTAATCGCCAAGCAATCAGAGTAGCTTTCAGAACACAATAGCGTGCGGTCTGCGAACAATGCAACCGCGCGCTTGGCGATGACTCCGGTGATGCGAAATCGCTAAATTTAGTCGAGCAAAATGTGCGCGGCGGGAAGTCGTAAGAACCGAGCGTGGATGAGTGACGAGACGGCGACGAAGGAGAAGCGCGAAGGGAAACACGAAAAGAAAGGTTGAAAGCGGCGAAAGGGGCACCGGCAATGACAGCAGCGAACAGCGGCGAAGTCGATTAAGCTCGGAAGAAAAAAAAGGGCGAATCGGCGGCGGTTAAAAATCGTGATACCGAACGGCATGTGTCTTTGTGATATGGAGCTTAGACGTACTGGGATTTATACTCTAACGAATGTAGATAAATATATAAATATATATATATATATATATATATTATACATGTGTGTAAAAAGTACGTGTTACGTTACATCGAGGTGTACCGATAAATGAGTTTGTGAAGTGCGATGTGGCTTAATCTCGTCGTAGATAGGAGTGTTCGCGAAAATATCGATGCCCTTTGCTCTTTCGCTCCGTCGGCGTATAAAGAGCGGGTATGCCGATGCCGTACTTTCTTCAAATATTCTTATAAATAATCAGAATATCGGCACGATTGAGCCTCGTATATTTCACGATCGATACCTGTCCTCTTTTCGACGACCGAGCGAGCAAAAATACCGGGCATCGATGCTGCTTTTGAGTACAGCAGGTCTAGCGATGGTAAACACGAGACGATCCTCGCGACGTGAACGTGAATTTCGAGTTTACGTCTCTGTTCTGTTGATCCCTTCATCCCCGGGAATTAATTCAAAACGTGAGGGACTTATATCCGAATATATTTTGTACGCGTATGCAATATGCAGGAATGATAATGTAGACTTTTTTCATTTCTCAGCAATATTATCTTGTAAGTCCTCAATTCGTCCACGATAAAGTGATTATGTCGGACACCGAGAGAATCGTATCGGCGAAGTAATTTCATTGGAAAACACAATGGCTATATGTTGCCTTTAATGATTTTATAATCGGCGCTCCACCAGATCCCGGAAAAGTAACCACAATCCGTCGCAACTCCGCCAAGTCCCGGAAACCGATCAAAAGAAAGGAAAGAAAAAAAAAAAAAAAAAAAAAAGAAATGTACTGACCGGTCTCAGCGGTATAACACGTATCTTAGCGCAATACTTAGGCCGATGATTTGCCGCGCTGAGACCGATCGTCGCTACCACTGCCGATAGCTTTGTTAGATAGGCGCCACGCTTTCTTTACAAGCTGGCTCATTTGCGCGAACCTAGTCTCCGTTTATCCGCGTTTCTTGCGAATTAACACGTGGAGTGCCGGCGACAATTCGCTAATTTTCCATGCAAATACACCACCATTGTGCATTAAATAAGATTGCACTCCAGTAATGTGGAGGCGCTTAAGCATGCTGTATATATACATATATAGACACGTGATACATTGCTATATTAATTTAATGGTAATTAAATGCTGCAAATACGTAAATACCTTCGCATTAATTAGGGACATATTTTTGCGAAAGAATTTCTAAACTGTTGTGCATTACAACGCTGCTCGCGTGATGAAGGAAATAAAAAAAAAAGAACGAAAATCTCGAGCGCTAACTGAAGATAATAAATGATCATTCGGTCCAGAATGAATGGAAAGCTCTGACTCGTAAAAATTCTATGCAATACCGACGTCATAATACACAATCAATCTTTCTAATATTTCATTTTTAACAAATTATAATTAATTGCAATGTCGAAATTTGTATGCTCATTGCTTTCCAATAG